GATCGGGTCCCAAATTTGGAGTTCAGTTTCAATATACTTAGCTATTTAAATCTTACATGATCCTGACAAATAGTTTAACAACTCTATTTGTGAGCTTCTCCACCTGAACAAAAGTCATCGTGATCAGTCTTGGCCCGTGGGGACATGGTGTAACTGTCGGTGTCAGCCATTGTCTTACTGCCATGCCGTTTCAGCCTCTTCCTGAGATATAGCATCTCTCACAAAGGAACACAGCAGAACACTGGCACCAGACCTACCTGCTAAGCAGGGGGAACTAGACAGAGAGATCGGGTGGCTCTTCTAAGTGTTTGCCACGTGCTTGGTGCTAGAGGAGGGGTGTGTCTTTGCCCTGGGTACATCATCCTACCCTAGGCAGACTCAAGAGGCCGTGTAGACCTATGGTGCTCATTGGAGAGTTGAAGACAGTGTAGCTCAAGGGGTCAGAAAGCCAAAGTTCCTGTCGATGTCATTGTAAGATTTCTTCGTCACTGGTCTTAGGATCAAATTCCAAATCCTGAACCTGGCCTATTCTGTAATGTCCTCCATGATGGGGGAAGTCCTGTGCATATGTCAATAAAGCACTGTTGGCCAATAGGAAAACAAGATAGGTGGGACTAGGAGTCCAGGAGGACTCTGGGTAGGAGAAACACAGGGAGTCAAGATGTAACCGCTATAGGGATAAGAAGCCCGGTAACTTCTCTGGTAAGAGAAAATACTTAGATTAACAATTATGGGATAAATACTTAAGTCAGAGCTAGCCAGTAAGAAACAAGCAAGGCCAACAGCTTCATAATTAATATAGCCTCCTGTGTGTTTATTTGGGACTGATGCGGCTCTGGAACCAGGCTGGCGGGAAGGCTTCTCTTTACACCTCCAGACTGCCCCTCAGCCTACCTCCATGAGTTCCTCTTGGTTGACTGTTCTCTGTACATATTGCCTCTCCCTCTGCTTCTGAGCTTTCCCTTGTCTTCCTAACCACCACTCAACTCTTGTGCCTCAACTCACGTTTCTCCAGAGGAACTTTTCATAGGTCTCCTGAAGACCTTTATACTAACAGGAGGTCCCTAACTTAGTGCTACTGGGAAGTGAAGGATACTTTCAGAGCTGGTGCTCAATGGGCAGTCTCCAGGGATGGTGGGCTAAAAAGAGTAGCGTCTTGACCTCATCCTTTTCTTCTCTTTTACTTCTGAGACATGAGTTCTTGTGCCACGAGATGCTGCGAGATGCTGCTTAGACACAGACCCGAAAGCAATGGGACCAACCAATCGCAGACATATTGAAATCTCAAACACAACTCATAAACCAACTCCCTGCCCTTTTGTAAGCTGACTATCTCTGGTGTCTGTGATATTCATGGAAAGCTGCAAACCACATCTTCCTTGAGGCAGCTAGCCCCAAGGGTGGGTAAGGCCTCACTCCTACATGCTTTCACAGTAGTCCATGGGACTCCTTCATAGCACTTCTCAATGCTAGTTGGATATTTCAGAGAGTGTGTTTTTGCATTGGGTGCACGTACTCATATGGGTACAGTCTTTACTCATCAGGAAAGATTGAGATGATCATCACCATCATAAATTCCCAATCCAGTTTATGTCTTGCCCTGTGTCCCATGGTGATTAGCAATGGCCTCTGCTCCACTATGTCACTCAGAGACCCAGAGCAATGACAGCTTCAGCCCTTTGTGGATGCACCAGGTAAAACACCTGGCCTCCTATGAGGCTGTAGCAGAGAAGAGAGGCTGGAGACTGGTGTGTGAGCAGGGAGCATACAGCCTCAGCCCGGAGAGGCAGCATTACACCCTGCGCTACTATAAAGGGGCCAGGACACAGGGAGCCGGCGTATTCTTTGATCTATAACAAGGTGTTAGTGAACTTGTTTCTTTGTGTGTTTTCTATGCCTAGTTCATTACTTGGCCCTGAGTAGAGACCCTGGACTATCTGTAGAGGGGATGAGTGTCCGTGTAAGTCTGTGATGATCAGGCAGCCAGCTCCCTGGATCAAGATTGGCTTTCAGGACACAATTCTTTTATTTTCAGAACCTTTGGCCTTTGCACGGTATCTTGTCTACCTCAGCTTGTGGACCGCTTTTTCCCCTCTGCCTGGAGTGCACAGAATGCCGTGCATTTAGCCACTTAATAGATTTGTCTTTCCTGATGAAACTGATGAAACTTACATGTCCTCCAATCAGCTTTGCAATCAGACATCCAGCCACTCACCCCAGACAAGTGGCAGCTCAAATGCTGCTAGCGTTTCTTAAGTGCCTACTATGTGCCAGGTGTGTCCTTTGGCGAGTGTACGAAAATACTGGATGAGAAGAGCCAGGCTCCTGCCTTACTAATGGAAACCCTGACGCTGCAGAGCAAAGCCGCAGCTGCTCTTGGATTTCAAGTTAGCAACTTTCCAACAGGCCAGGCAGTAAGGTTCACAGTAGAGTGGGCATCTGGTCACCTGGAGACATACAGGAAAGTCTGACTGCTGAGTCCCATGTGCTGAAGTCTCAGTCAGTGGCAATGGGTGGGACTGAGGATCTGCATGTTAATGAGTTCTGTGTTCTGGGTGTTTGCCTCACTGCCCTCCTGAACTCGCCTCTTGTCTTGCTTGAAGGAGGGGGAAGGTCAGTAACACACCTCCAAGGCTGATACCTGGTACTCCTCTGTGAGGCTGCTTACAGTCAAAGCGTGTAAATTGCATGAACTGGGGTGCTTGGAGGATCTGACATTCTGTATTGTATGAGTGGATGAACTCAACCAAAGCTATGGATTCCAGTTAAGTCTCTTCACGGGTAGGAAGAGCTGCACACTAAAAACTGCACCGCTGTAAATACCCGGAAAGTCAAAGAGTTATCACATAACCATGGTAGCCTCATCCTATCGGCTGACTGTGGGAATCCAAGGTGACTGTATGACAGCCCCCTGCTCACGGCTCTGGAAACACACACTTGAAACAATGAGGGGCTATACGTGTGTGTAAGGGCATAGATGTGTGCTAATTCTGTGTTGACCACCGGGTGTGAGGGGTGGTGAGGGGAGAGGCCTTAAGAGGAGGTGGGGCTCCAGAGCTCTCAGTGAAACAATAGTCTGTAACTGATACTTGTAGAGCAATGGAGAATACTTACCTGTGCCATCCCCACCAGCTGGTGTGAGGTGGGCATTTGCAGGATGAAGAAACAGGCTTAGACTCATCTCAAGGTGATGCTCATGAAGAGAAACTGGGCTCGAACCAATGTTAGTCAAAGCCTGTGTTCTTCAAAAGGTTGGGTAAGGAGAGTGAAAGAGATGGCATGACAGACATGCTCCATGCAGCCTGGGCCTTGTGGAGTGTCTTAAATTGGACTAATTGATGGGTGAGGTAAATGCTAACCAAGTAGGTTTAACCAACTGAGCCGGGCGTTGGTGGCACACACCTTTAGTCCCAGCACTTGGGAGGCAGAGGCAGGCAGATATGTGTAAGTTTGAGGCTAGCTTGGTCTACAGAGTTAGTTCCAGGAAGACAGTCAGAAAAATCCTGTCTTGGAAAAAAAAAAAAGAGGTCAACTGTGACTGAGAGAGATGCTAATGACCACAGAACAGCCATGAGAAGTACTAACATGGTCATTGCATCTGAGGACGATCCTGGATGTGGCGGAGAGTGCAGATTCAGTAGAATCCCACAGCAGAGTACCTCATGTTGTCTGAATTAGAAATTACAACCACACCAGATTTTGGAGATGGTTCAGGTGTGATGGTAAACATTTGTCACCCTAGCACTCAGGAAAACAAGGCAGGGGACTTGCTAAAAGTTCCAGGCTAGCCTGGTTGACATAGTGAGTTGGTTGGTTGTGGTGGTAAATACTTGTAATCTTAGCATTCAGATGTACATAGTGAGTTAGCCAGCATAAGCTATCCAGGAAGGCCCTGTCTCAAAAATCAAGCCAGCAAAGAAACAAAAAGGTGTCACTAAGTGTCAAGGCATGGAGTTTGGCTAGTAGAGGATGGTACATCTCCATCTCCCTATGACCTGCGACCCTTGTCAAATGGTTTGTACAATTGTATCTGGTAGTCTTGTGTTTCTCCCTCTCACCATCCAAAGCCACAAATACACACCACACACACACACACACACACACACACACACACACACACACACACACACACACACACACACACCCTGAGCATAGTCCCATGGTGTAGAATTTTTCAGAGTATTCCCTTGGTAGTGGCAATGGGGCTGGGAAACCTCTGTGGTTTCCCGCTGTTTTTTTCCCTCCTACCCAGCATGCTTTCCAACTGGATCTTTTAAGAGGGCCACTGGCTGTGCAGGAAGCAGCTGTGAGAACACAGTCCACAAGGTCAGGGAGAAGCAGGACAGACTCAGCTCCCTTTAAGGGAGGATTAACAAAAGAGATAGCACACGGAGGTCCCAGTCAAGGGCAGAGGGAGGCGTCCGAGGTTCCCCTCCCTGGTCCCACTGTTAACATGGGCTACAAAGCTCAGGTCTTTATTACCAAAGAGAGAGAGAGAGAAAAGGTAGCCTCAGCCGAAGCGGGAGTCCGTGAGAGGGGAGAGAGGAGCGAGCCGCACACTGAAATCAATACGGCACAGGACAAGCATTATCCCATGTGGAACACCTCGAGCCTCTGCCTAGAAAATTTGATTGGATCTTCAGAAAAACCTATTAGTGTGTTGTCAGGACCTTCTGGTGATAACTGACCAACTCTTGCCAATCGATGCTCTTCACTTGTGGAGCTCCTGATTTCTTAACAGCATAATTGTTTTTTTAATAACGGGCTGGCTCACCCACTCCAGCAAGCCGGAGTCAAAGTCAGACTCCCAACTTAAAATGTAGAAGCATAGGGCTGGGGCCTCTCCGTCCTAATTGCACAATTACTTCACAGAGCACCAACAACGGGCGGCTGCTGTGGGGGGTGGGAGACGCGGGGGCTTTTTCACCTGAGTGAAGTTGTGGGGAGAAGTCACAAAAGTAATTATATAAGTCAAAATTATGTAGCAAATGAAACCATTCTTCACAAAAGAGTTTTATTTGTTTTTAAAGAAAAGGGGCCCAAATTGGACAATCCCAAGATGACAAGGACACCATGAAACAACAGGGGGATTAGTCATCACTCATTCCAGCTTTTTAATTTCCAACTCAAGAGCAGGCAGTACAGTTTGTTGGGTTCTAAATGCTCCGGGACAACAGCATCCCTTTTGCTCACAAGCCGTACCTTGAACCTAAGGGGTTAAAGCACTTTACAAAGGACTGGAAACAATTTGGGATCCAGGCTCTTTATAGCAGCAGAGCAAGGCTCAGGGAGGCAGCGATTGCCCAAGTCACAGGCTGAAACAGAGGGACAGCTGGAAGCTCAACTCAGGCCCCTGGCTTTGCAGCTCCTCCCCACCAGATTAATTCTCCACCCAGGCACCAAAAACAAAAACCCAAAACAAAACAAAAACCCAAAGCTGGAACACAGCAGTGGGGCAGGGAAGAGCTGCCCCCCCCCCAAGCCTGGGGCATTGCCTGGACAACTTGCCTTTTGTAGTAGTGAAGCTGGGGTGTGCAGGTCACATATCCCCTCAGATTGCATTTGTCCTTGCTGCTCGAGGGAGAACCATTGCCAAAGACGGTGTTTAATTTGAACATTTAACACATCTGCAGGATTCTGTGACTATTTAGAGTAGAGCAGCTTGCCCTGCTAAGCCCCCATGTGTGGGAATGGAACCTGCCTTTCCTGGACTGGCTTCCTCCAGAGCACATCTTGTACACTTAGGGAGAGGGAGATTCAGGGAAAGGCGAGGACAAGAAAGGAAGCTGGGGGTGGGGATGGGGATGACAAGACCAGGAATGGGAGAAGGAACAGGCGAGGAAAGAGAACAAGTGAGGTGGGCTTGGAAGTCTTTACAGGGCCTAGAACCTTGAAACTGAAGCTCACTTCCACAGTGAGAGCCTGCAGCCTACACTGCTTACACTTAAGGCCTGAAGTCTAAAAAAAAAATCAGTTTGATGCAGCTTGCTGTTTGGTTGACAATGTTATAGTTTTGTAGGTGTTTAATTGAACACTTAACACATTTGAGGGGGCAGGTTTCTTGTCTCCTCTGGATTTTGTAGCTCATATTTATTTCCTTTCCATGCATCAAATACGTTCACAAGCCCTGGAGGTGTTAGTAGGCCATGCACTTATGGACCTTAACCAGGTCAGGACGGGAAAGACAAAACAAAGAACAGCCAACAACTTTGACTGTGACAGAAGAAACAAAATTCAAATTCAACAAAGCAGGCAGGAGGAGTTGGAGATATTTGAGAACTGCTGGCTAGAAAGAAGGGGACAGGCCATACCCACCAATTTTTCAGAAAAGAGGCAGACACAGACGAAAAAAATAGTCTTTTGCTATCCAACAATTTATTGAGCCCAGAGCCAGATACCGCCCTTGGTTTTGGAGATACAGACTGGAATTTGATTCTGTCTCTACTTTCAGGGAATTTGTTGTTTTACTGAGGGAGACAAAGTAAATAAATAGTTCAGACATGAGATAAGGACAGAACTTGAGGTAAGAATGAGAGACTGAGAAGTCAAAGGGAAGCATCCTGAATCAGCTTTTCTAAGGCACAGAGGTGGGGGGATGCTGAAGTGACCTTGCAGCACAGTACGGCACAGGACATGCAGCTGAGGGTCATGGATAGGGCTGAGGCCCAGAGTGAGGGGAAGGCATGTTGTGAGCATTGAGTTGATGGTAAACCCAAAGTCAAGAAGGGACTTGGCCTGAACAGGGGAGTGGCCCAGAGCAGGTCATTAGGTCTAGTGATGGGGGTAGTGGGCAGGAAGATGGGAAGCTAGGGGAAAGGCTGTCACATGTTTTGAGTTGAAGAGGCGAGGACCAGGATGGTGACATAAAAACACCAGGTTTAGATGGAGTCCAAGAAGCATTTAGAGGACAATGGGCAGGAGCTAGTAACTACTGATGGTGGGAGATGAGAGGAGAGATTTGAGAATGATGCTCAGGTCTCTGGTTTTGGGGCGTGGCTGATACAGTGAACTGAGACAGGGTATGAAAGGGATTGAGCACTCTTGAGGAAACGTCATTTCCCCAAAGGCTCAGGGCTGCTGGCAGGATACCGACAGCAGGACAGTGTCCACTGAAAGCTTGCCAGGAGCCCCCATTAAATCCCCAGGAGACTTTAATGCCTTTTAGAGGGACCAGCCACTGTCAATACACCACTACTGCCTCAGAAGAGAGCGTCTGGAAATGCAATGAGTGGGTACACGCTGGGAGAGCTGGACCGTCATTCATGGTTGGAGGAAGTATGGGAAGTCAGCTCATGCACACCCCTAGCTCTACTGGGGTCTTCTCTCACTGGCGACACACCTGGAAGGCAGGGTTGAACTGAGACACAACTATATATTAGACATACATAACTCACTGGGCCAAACTCCTATCACCCATTTTCCTACAGGAGAAAGCAACGAACTAAAAATAAAGGCCATGGAAGTCTGACCTAAGGAAATCTGTGATCATGGCGTTGTTTGCCACAGCTTCATTTGGTCTGCAATTTAAACAGGCGGAAACTCTCGAGTGAAACTGCCAAGATTAAAAAGAGAACACTCATTCCACACACATGACTGGGGAGAGGACTTTCCCAAGTCCTAACCTGTTCATCATTCCCAGGAATCAAACAGTCTCCAAAGCAAAAGGGATGACAGGTGATTCTTTCTCAATCTTCAAGGTTGGCAGAAGGAAGACAAAGGAGGCTTTGGTTTGGGGACAGCATGCATGAACCACACGTGTCCATAAGTAAACCAGAAGCCCTCCGAACACGCGGCTTGCTTGTTGACACAAAAGCCAGGCTGGCAGCCCTCTCGCCCAGTCATGTTCACGGTCGGATCCTTAATACATTGTGAGCATTCAATCACACTTTTAGTGGTGAAATTCTAGGAGCAGAAAGCCAGCTAAGCCCAAGTGGTCCCTTTGCTTTTCCATCTTTTGTGGCTGCCTGGCTGTGCTCTTCTGGGTTTTGTTGTCAACAAACTCCTGGCTTGCCTTTGAGCGCTCCAAATTATTGAAAATGACTACAGCTTAAGACTGGCAGGATGATTGTTAAAAACAGCCCTGGCATTAATCATAGCTTAAGAGCTTTTGGAAAACGATTCTAATTCAGAAGGGGTGGCTTACAAAGAGGCTTGTCGAAAGCGAAGCAGACATCAAATTCTGAAAAGCAAAAAAAAAAAAAAAAAAAAAAAAAAAAGCCTCCTTGGTACCCACACCTGGCTTCTCCTGCAATCCAGCTGGCAGAAGTGTGTGTGTGTGGGGGTGAGGGAGGGTGGATGGATAGCTTACCTTACAAGCTTGCCCCATTTGAGACCACCTCTGGGTTTTCCACCAATCCCATTCCACCCATCCCAGCCCTCCCCCAATCTAAGGACCTTGAAATGGGAAAGACCTTGGGTGAGGGCACCCACAAACTTAAGTACTCCTGGCAGTCCTTGGAATAAGGGAGAGGAGGCTAGGAGCCTTGTTTTCTGTCAACAGTTGGGGTGCCTTAGTCCGATGCTAAAATAAGCTGTGCATATAGAAGCAGCTGCCTGGGCAAACACATGGTCAGCATTTGCAAGGAGCCAGGCTCTTGCAAAAGACAAACTAATACTTCTCTGCCTTTTGCCTGCCTGGCACAACAAAGGAGAATGATTTTTGCCATCAGCATTCTCCCTATCATGGAATCATTGCACAATTTAGTATGATTAATGGTTTCCATTTAGGAGGAGCTGAGAATAAAACAGTGGGGGAGTGATGGCACTGGGCTGGGGCTGCTTGTGACTGCAATGAGGGAAAAGGAGATGGGTCAGTGCCTGCAGGCCACTCCCCTCTACCTTCACTTCCGGGCACGGGTGGGGAAAGACTCATGGCTTTTGACCTGAATTTGCATCAACAGTCTGGAAGCTGCAAGTCTGTGGCCCTGTCATTCTTGCAGCTTTCCCTGCATTTGTGAGCAAGAAGCCACTCCCTCCCGGACTGCCCAAGGGAATGCCCTTCCCAGAGGCTCCTAACTAAAGGCTGGCTGAGAGTTGGCAAGGCGACATGGCTGCATAGATGAAGGGAGCAGAGTTAACTACACCACTTCTTGGCATTCCTGATTGGTCACACAGAGATGCCACACGGGGAAGGAGGGATCCCACCCTTGCGCTGGGAGGGCAGTGGTGGCCTCCAATATAGCCATCTGTCTCTGCTGCGCCCAGGCTGCTGAGCTGAGTCCCAGCTCGCCTCTGCTGGCTTTCCTGGAAGTTCTTTTCCACACTGTAGCATCTTTTCTGTCCACACGTGGAGGCACTGTTTCTTCTCAGATCTCATGCAGCTGCAGGCGAGTGGTGAGACAAAGGGCTCCAGAGCCAGAGACTTGTGGGTGCTGACAGAAACCAACCAGGAAAACAGAGAATTCAAGAGGGCCTGCACGTTTTGAGCAAGAGGCTTTGTAACTGAGGCCAGAAAGGGAGAGAACCGGTGATCTTGGCTGGGTCTAACTCGAATCCAGGCCCTTCTCGAGGTTTTGGTGTCTCTGCAAGGAAATCTATTATTTTCCATAAACTGTCTTAAGTGTCTCCCGGCTGCATTTCTGGCTGTGTTAAGGATCAAGCCACCAAGAACAGCTGTGAGCAGTAGCAATGGGCTTTGGCAGAGAAGTAGGAGCAAAAAACCCAAGTAGGACATTTCAGTTGACAGTAATGGCATTTTCCCTTCCTTGTCCAAACGGTAATAGATTCATGCTCCTAACTGCGACACTACAGCTGCCCCCATCACTTTATTCTGGGAGAGGAGGTTAGAGAAAACAGGCCTAGAGAGAGGGAGAGAAAGAGAAAGAGAGACGGATAGTAATTTTGTCACTGGCTAACAGAGACCGATTAGTGTAGAAGACCCCATCCATAGCAATACTTTTTAATCAGGACTGCTGTGTCTGGGCAAACAGCTTTTGTGGATTAGCTAGACTGGAGCCTGCCAGCATCTGTTGCAAGTTTAAAGGATGAAATACACAACTACAGAGAAAACAAACCGAAAAGAGTAATAAAGTCACACATTTCAATATTCAGCAACCATTAAGGGATTTAAATATTTGCTTGCTATTAAAGGCTTGCATTAGGCTCTTCCAACACCAGCTCTGGAAGACTGAAATATCAATTACGGATCAATTTTCCCCCTAAGTAAACACTAATGCAGGATAAACAGTATTAGAAGATGCAATCGTAACATTGCTGACTTCAGGATGGACTTCCTGCTGGTAACAGCAAGTTTAAGCCTGGTGATTAATTAACCTGAGAAGATAGCACTTAAGGAAGATTTAAGGCGAGCATGCCTGAAATATGAGCGTGAGCCAGCATATGTATGCAGGACAGCCAGAGAGGTCTTGGCCCAGGGCGTGGGTTGCTTTGCTCCTCAGTAGTGGTCCTGACTCCCCAGCTCGAAGTTTTAAAGGATTTAGGAGGGAGCAAAGCGTGGAGTGCAGGTGGATGAGGTGTGTGTCAGAGAAAAGGCAGTTGTCTTGAAATTAATTCTACTTCTAAATAAGCAAGGGTTGCAGTTTCTATACTGGCCACCAGGGGAGATACACAGTATAGTCTCTTGGGAATGAAAAAACAAAACGCAAACAAAAAACAAAAAGCAAAACCCAAAAGGCAAACCAAACCAAACAACAAACAAACAAACAAAAACCTACCATTAGCCAGATCTCTATGAGTTTGTTGCCAGCCTGGTTTACAAAGCAAGTTCCAGGAGAGTTAGAGCTGTTACACTGAGAAACCTCTTATTAAAAACAAAGAAAGAAACAAACAAACACCAAAACCCAAACCAAACCAAAAAACAAACAAACAAAAACCCAGAACACTAAACAACAGCAACAACAACAACAACAACAACAACAAAATCCTCCACCAAAGCCCGAAGTTCCATATTGTACAAGAGTCTGGACGCTGAGGATAGTAAGTCGTGACAGCATAGACTCTCATTATGTTCCAGTCTGGCCTTGGGGTGCCCTCATTATCTTGCTGTCCACTCCCCTCTTCCTACCAGGTAAAGTGGTGTGGGGACTGCCCTCCCGCACTGCTCCTGTTGGAGGCACTCTTTAGCATTTTTATATGAGCACAAGTAAAGTAAGAAGCATACTTTGAATTTTTCTAACCCGTGGCACCTCATTCTGAAGGGCCCTTATGATATATGACAACAATGTTACCTTACAGCTTTCCACAGCCACCACCCCAAAAGTCATCATCGCTGCCCAAGGAGGAACAAATACTAGCGTTGGCAGGCCTCAGAGACAGATGGGACCAAGGGTGCTAAACTTGGGGTGGACAGGCACATCTCTTCAAGGCCTTACAGGAACTACCTGGTTGGGGATGAACTGGCAAAGTCAAAGCTTGAAATGGAGACCAAGAGTACAAGGTGAAGTCATGAACTAAAGCCTGCTGAAAGCTCACAGTGTGGCTGCTATGACCATGACAGAGGGGCTGTGAGCCTTTCTGGGTGACAGCAAAGAGCCTCTGCTCCCACTGGCTGTACAGTGGGGCCATGTAATTTTTCAGCTTCATCTTAGGTTTTTCTGTGCAAATATGAGATCCACTGAAGGAATCTGACTGCCAGTTCTTTATGATTACATATTTGTGGCAAGAAGATGTATTAGGAATTTGAGGCCATGGTTTGTAATGCAACAGAAATGCCTCATGGAAGGAAAGTCTTTCTACTTGTCATGTGGTGACCACATGATTGCTTTAAGGCTCTGGATGACAGAATCAAAGGAACAGCTCTCCAAAGAGCAAGTCCATAGAACAAGAGTTACATTTCAACTAGACAGGGGACAGTGAAAGATTAACCTAATTAACACCTGGGTATCACCTCAGGGTTCCAGTTGATGTATTTGGAGAACCCAACCAGGCCAGGCCAAGCTTTTCGAGAACCCCCTGGAGGGAGCAGGGAGAGCTTTTGTGCTATACCAAGAGGCACACCGGAAACACAACACGCAGATATTAACCCAGCTGCTTCTGGCATCTTCTCATTTGCCAGTCTTACTGTGCTTCAACAGCCAAGCTGCCTGCCACCTTGTGTCTGTCTCAGCTTACAGACCACTAGGGGTCCCTGCTCTGTGTGTTAGGGCTGAATCTGAAGCCTCATGCTATAGACAAGGACATTGTACACACCACATACCATGTGGCTCAGAATAGTGACAAATAAGTACACTGATGAATCATGATGAGAAAATCCTTCGGTATGCTATGGGAAAATTCACAAGAGCACGAATCCACACGGACAGTTCTCTCTAAGGAGGAACCAGTTCTTACAGCAATGGGCACCCTTGTCTTCTAAATCAACATTTCAGTCTAATGAACACGTAATGAGTGCTTACTTCCTGGTGCAACTTTATTGCGTAAGTGCCAATTTCTTATCTTTTTGGTGGTACTGAAGATTGAACTCAAAGACCACTGCATGCTAAGCACAGGTCCCCCCCCCACTGAGCTATACCCCCAGCCCATGGTATGCATCGTCTCCATCTCTCTCTCTCTCTCTCTCTCTCTCTCTCTCTCTCTCTCTCTCTCTCTCTCCTAATGGCCTTAGAGGTTATAACAACTTCACCTTACCCAGCAAAAGACAAGACAAAGATCAGGTGCACTGGGCAACATTCTGAGGCTTCACAGCTAGTGAAGATGGAGCAGTTACTTAAACCCAAGGCTGGTCCGCTCTAGCCCTCGATCTTGAGTGCTATCCTGGATTGTCCTGTGGGTCCTATAGAGATATGGTAGATCATCTTCCTTGTTGTTCTTTGCCTTTTGGCAGAAGCTGAGAGAGTACAGTGAACACTCAAAGCTTCTGCCTAGACTATGAGGACAGCTACAAGACGGATCACACCTACAGAGTACCTTACTCGTCACATGTCCACCTGCTGGCTAGGTTCATTGCCCTCTGCATTGTCCCTTTTCTTCTCTCATGTCCTTGGAAATCCAGCAAAGCTCTGAGCTCTTCCATTGAGCTGAGTGACCAGCTACTGCTCATTTGCCTTCCCCAAGAAATCCTCACTGCCATTATTACATTGGGTGTGACACTCACAGATGAGGCCACTTCTTCACTGGTGTAACTGGCACCGTAGCCTCTAGTAATCATTCATTTACACTTGTCTGTGTTTGTGTCCCCCACCATGTCTATGTGTCAGACACCCAATGACGGCATAACTGCTTCTGTTGGTGCTGTTCCCCTTAGAGACAGACTGGAGACCAGACCGTGATATAAGAAACCAATGTGAGATGCCAGCCTTGGTTTTCTCTGGAGCTTACCTTGTCTCTCCCTGCCAAACCTTCCCGGTTACCTGACTGAAACAGAGGGGGAACCCAATGAGAGCTGGGTGAAGGTGAGAAGGGGCACTTCGGGGTAGTCAGATTCCTGCTTATCGATTACAAGTAAGCTCCTTGCTAACTTCGCCTGCAAGGCAAGGACATTGATACCCCGTGCTGTTGAATCTCACAGTTCACCTGGGCCTGGAAGTTTCCAAAACCTAAATGGTGAGTGAGAACAATCCACAGGCAGCCAAACTGTCAGCCCTCAGCAGCTCACCGCTTCATCTTTGCGAAAGGAGAGAGACTTTGAAAAGGAAGAAGGCAGTATGAATCGTTAAGACACACAATCCCAAAGAGAGACGGTGGAGCAGGCGACACAGGAAAGTTGGTGGGTGGTGGGTGAAGGGGGAGGGTGGCGGTGGACACATCCAGGGGAGGTGCCATCCCCAGCAGCTGCACGCACACCTGCACAAATCATCGCGCCCACGGGAAGCGACGCCGTTCAGTCAAGCACCGGACTCCCCTGGCTACTGTGGGGGAGAAGAGGACAGGACAAGGAAGAGCAGACAAGAGAGACAGCTGGCAGCCACTGCCCAGCAACCTACTGCCAGTGCTCTGGGCCCCACACAAGGTCCTAGGAAAGGAAGCGGGACCAGAGGCTGGGTATCGTAAGAATCCAGAAAGAGATTTAAAGGATCACTTGTAACATTAATTTTTTTATTAAGAAGACAGATATTTTATAGTACTTTTTTTTCTTTTTTCTTTTTTTAAAAATGGTATACATGAACCGATACAAAATGCGAATGGGAACACATGGATGTGGAGTTTCTTACACTGTAACATGGTCCTTGTACACCTTAGAAACAGAACTGGCCTAGAGGGAAAAACAAGACGCTGTTGTGACTAAAGAACAAGCTTATTTGGCATCAATTATACATCCTTCATTATTTTATATTCCTTTAAAAAACACAAAAAAAACAAGTTTGTTCTTTCTTCACTCTAAAAAGTGATCAACCTGTACAAAGTAATACTCAACAATACATTTCAAACAGTGCACTGTATACTTAAGAAAAATACATAAACCAATATACAACTAAAATCCGTAATTTCCTGTTTTTGCTTTGTTTTATTATCATTATAATTATTATTTTTTCCAATGTGTGGGGCCTACACTTTGCAATCTACCTGAGACGGAAAAACACCAATCGAAACACAGGAACCTGAGACATGTCAACATTGTAAGCCATAAAGTTACATCAGAACACTGCACTACTGTACACTTGTCAAAACAGAAAGATGGGCGGTCCCGAAAATGAGATGCCAATTCTGTGAACAATGATAGTTTTTTTGTTTGTTTTTTGTTTTTTTTGTTTTTGTTTTTTTGTATTTTTTTTTTCTAAAAAGAACAGCTGAAAAACCCTTTCAACGACATGCTAACTGGTTCTCACCCTTTGATATGGTCACACTATGTTCAGGATGGGTGCTAAGGGCTCGGAATAGATGGGCATTATAAAATTCTTGAAAAAGGGATGTTCCTTGTGGCTTTTTGTCTTGGTTAATAAGTGCCTAGGGACAGGAGAGGGGTCAACAAAACACTGCTCGATAATGAACTTCCCTTTACATACCAGTCCGTTCCCAAAAGGCCCCCATATTGCAATGGTTCTATCAGAAGTAAAAATAAAGACAAGAAAAGAAATATTCTTTCAAATAACAGAGTCGACACTTTTTCCCCTTAAATAAATCAGCGTAAGTTTTCCACATAATGTAACAATAGTAAAAATGCACCTTGCAAAATCCAAAAGTACTGACTGAAAATGTTATATAATATATATTTATATATTTATATATATAGATAGATCTATCTTTTCTGATGCCACCTTTCCATAGGGACTGATTTTTGGAGTCTGGAGCCTGCCAACACATAGGATAAGAGCTTAGGTTCTAGTCCTTCAGAACGACTTCTGGATTTCCTAAACACTTCAGTGACAAACCCCCACTTAGCTTTAAAGAATGCAAATGGTAATTCGACCCCTCTACCTTCCCCCAGGCTCCAGTCTAAGATATGTTCAAGGAAACTTATTTTAGTAGCTATGTGCTATGGCTGCCATCATGCGAGATGAGGAATTTTTGGCAGATGGTTCTTAAGGCTGAGGAAAGAGGCCAAGGCTAGTGTATGAAAGGTAGAAAGATAAAAACACTCACATCTGAGTTTTGATTAAGTAACTGAAAATCTCTCCATGCTGTGTTTGCACCTCAGCTCTGACCTTTCGAGAACAATACAGGCCTTTCTTTTGTACCTCCTGCCTTTGTCAAGCCAAATCTGAAGGAATGAGAGCTGCTGCACGGGATTGGAGTTGGAAATCCCAGCAGGACAGGAGTCCCAGCAGGACAGTGTCTGTAATGTACAGTACATGCAGGCCACACCCTACTGCCCTCCTAAGTAAGCACAAAGGAAAAACAAAACCAAAACCAAAAACAAACCCCCAAACAAAAACCTGTCCCCTTCATTCACACAAAGCACGGACTAGCTCTCTTCTGCACACCAGTGAGCAGTAAGGCCAATTGGGAAAGGTGGATGGAGTTGTTTGGAGTAGAACAACCAGAGCAGGACTACCTTATCCCCTCCCTGCTTCTCCTCCTGTGGTAACTCAAATTCGTCCACTGACGTAAAATGGACAGACCTCACCTGTTGGGTCTGTTTAGGGCAATGAGGAAGGAGGAGACTTTCCACCCCAAACCTTTCTGCACAGGGTGGGGTAATCTATACTGAGCCGCCTACAGATACAGAATTAAAGACAGATTCAATCTCATTGCGACACACCTCACTTGCAGATAACCCTGTACAGTAATGAAGATCCACAGCAAACAACAGTTTCTGAGTCACAGTCTACTTTTCTAGTCTTTGCTGCTCTAAGTATTGAAACATGGGCAGCAGCAAAGAGTTTTCACTGTTTTTTTCTTTTTTTTTTCACCCAAATCTTTACGACAACAGAGAAGAATGCATCATGGAGACACTAAATTCTGAACTATGAAATCTAAACTGTGCTGGTTTTCCTTTTATGCAACTGAATTTGGAACAGAAAGCAGTCACCGTTAACACAAAAAACAAATGAAAGCAGGAAAGCGGCAACAAAGGGGAAGTCTTAGGAATCCCAGCAGGTCAGTTCCAAAAAACCCAGGAGGGTTGGGGAGGGGAAAAATTGATTTTGGGAAAAATAAATGCATACAAAGGAAAAGGGGAAAGAAACACAACAAACAAATGAAAAACAAGGCACAGAATTTTCTGCAATCTACCAAAACCCAAGTTTGACTTGGTAGAAATAAAAATTAAAAAAACAAAAACAAAATCAAATTAAAATCAGATAAAAAGAGGTGTCAAACAGCAGAGCGTACTTTTCAAAGAACATTTTTTCTTTTTGTTTTTACATAGCAAATCCCAAGCCTTCCCAGCCTCGCATCTTTCCACCCACTCATAAAAAACACACGAGCGTCTCGCAAGTTCCAGTGTCACTGTCTCTTTTATCATCTAAACAGGGCCAGTTGGACACCTCATTGGAACAAAAAGGCTGATCTAGATGAAGTACTCTTTCTTTTCTTCGGAGTTGTTCTGTCCTCCTTCTGCATTGATTATAGCTGTGTCTGCGTCTGCTGCGTCATCGGCTCCTTTGGCTTCATGAGTGAAGTATGTACCTGAAAGATGAAGGGGTAAAGCACTGTGACTCTCTGATGGCCTCTGTGTGAAGTGGTACAGAGATGGCAAGTTGCTTATGGCCATCATCAGCCGAAGTGGTGTGCAGGCAGCAGAGGGGAAAAAAACAATTGGAAGAAGAGAGCAAGGTGGGTGAGACAGATGGGGATCCCGGGCTCCAAAGGTACCACTCCAACTGAGCTGCTGCGATGTAATTCAGCAAACGAGACATTAGAGCAGTGATTATGACCAGAGAAGAAGACATGTGAGTGGGGCTAAAATGCAGAAAGCTGGAGAGCTGCTGACTAATGCATAAACAGTAAACATCAAAGACCAATGACCAGAGATGTTCACACATGGTTAAAGACCAAAGCAAGGAAGAACAATTAGCCAATAAATGAAGTAGGGCCCCAATGACGCTTCTATTTTCATCTTGAATCAGCTACTCCAACCATAGTCTCCTGGCTTCATGA